ATGTAGGCTTTTTCTAGCATATGTCTCGAAACTCTTCCAGCTTCTATGTATTACCCTGTTCCAAAGCCACTTTTGCATTTTCAGGTGTTTGTTAGAGCAGCATGCCATGCTCGGTACCAATTTCTGTCTTAGTCTGTTAGGACTGCTACAACAAAAATACCATAGGCTTCTAAACAACAGAAATTTACTTCTCACAGTCCTAGAGGCTAGGAAGGCCAAGATCAAGTTACTGGCAAATTCAGTGCCTGATGAGGGCTTGCTCTCTGGTTTACAGATGGCTGTCTTCTCACTTTGTCCTCCCATGGCGGAAGGGCTAGAGAGCCCTCTGGGACTTTTATAAGGGTACAAATCCCACTCATGCTCTAACTGTTTCCCAAAGTCCCTACCTCCTAGTACCATGACATTGGGAATGAAGACACCAGTATATGAATTGAAGGAGGACACAGACATTCAGTCTATTACATAACAGTAACTCAAACATATTTTAGCTGGGTGCGATGGTTTGGAAGGCTCAGGCAGGAGGATTTCTTGAGGCCAGGCTTCTGAGACCATCCTGGGCAACACAGTGAGACCTCATCTATAAAAAAAAAAGGTAAATTTTTTTTAAAAGTTAGCTGAGCATAGTGGTGCACATCTATGATTTCAGCTGCTTGGGAGGCTGATATGGGAGAATTGCTTGAGCCCAGGAGTTTAAGGCTACCGTGAGCTATGACCATGCTGCTAAACTCTAGCCTAGGAGCTAAAGCAAGACCCTAACTCTCAAAATAAGTTGTTCTGAAGATAGCTTACATTTTTCCCAACTCTTTTCCTCAAATGAGGGAAATATAGTAGAAGGCAGGGCAATGGAATAGAAAAAAGAACAGACTTTGGAGACAGACACACCTGGATTCTAGGTCCAGCCTGCCACTCACCAGCTGTGTGACCTTGGACCATCTGACCTCTTTTTAACAATGCAAATTTAAGTACAGACGTCTGCCTCCCTGGTTTATATTGAGAGTGACATGAAGCACTGTCAGGAAAGCTCCTGGCACCTTGCTTATCACTATGAAGGCCCTGTGGAAATGAGCATTTTTATAGATGGTTGCTTCCTTTGAATCTGGCTTTCTTGTTCTCAGTTTGAGAGATTTCCTCTTTGCTTTTTAGCTGGGATGAAAAACTGACTCCCTTGGAGAGCCACCTGTCTTCACTGTAGGTTGGCTTGGGCTGCCCAGTGGGAGGCAGGAATTTGGTGAGATTCAGTGGGCACAGAGGACAAACAAGAGTTTGAAAAAAGCATCCAGCTAGCGATCCGAACACACTGCCAGGATAAAGACACATCACTATGCACATTTTTTAATTGATCCTTTTAGTGTTGAATACTTAAAGATGAGTGAGACAAGGTCTCTGTCTTCAAAGAGCTCCCAAGATAGCTGGAAAGACAATGACATAAACTCTTAAAAACCAAAGTGGTTACGTAAAACTGTAATAGACGATATATCACAAGGAAGCATCTCCGTACTATGGACATACATAAAGGGGCAATGAGTTCTGTGGACTATTTGCGTGAGTTTGGCCAAGGAAGAGTTCTTGTACCAGTTACCTGGGGATGGATATTGAGATATTTTAATTTTCAGAATTACTGTATAACCACAAGAGACTATTTAGTGGTTGAAGCATGTTCAAGTCTGTTTTTGAACCTTACAGTGGATGATGTTGAGAGTACCCAAGTGATACAGAAAGATCTATGTAGGGGAGCTGTATCCAAGAAGCTTTTAATAGAACAGAATCCCAATGGCCAAATAGCACCAGGAAAATAAGGAGAAAGCATGGAGCATCCAGTTGTATAAATAAGATTGTGAATAATAGGTGGTTGTGAAAACCCAGGTATATGTTGGTTGAATAGTATCATTCCAAAATTTATGTCCTCTCCAGAACCTCAGAATCTCCAAACTCTGTTTGGAAATAGAGTTGCTGTAGATGCAGTCAGTTAAGATGAGGTCATACTGAAGCAGGGTGGGGCCTTGATGCAACATGCCCGGTGTCTTTGTAAGAAGAGAAAACAGAGACACAGACATATGGATCACGAATGCTGTGTGAAAACACAGACACACAGGGAGGATGCCTATGGGGCATCAAGGCAGAGACTGTGTCCGCCAGCTAAAGAGCAGTCAGTGTTGCTGCAACATCAGAAGTTAAGGGAAGGTCGTAGAGCAGATTCTCCCCAAACCCTTCTGAGAGAGCATGGCCCTGCCAACAACTCGATTTTGGACTTTAGCCTCCAGACTGTGAGGGATTAAATTTCTGCTGCTTTAAGCCACCCAATTAGTTACCCAATTGGTTAGGATGATCCTAAGAAACTAGTACACCAGGGTATTCTGTCTCTCCAAACACCCTAGTTTCTGCTGGAGTGCAACCTTGTAATTTTCTAGATATTCCCAACATCTAGGCCTCCCTCTAATTACATCCACAGTGGTACCCCAAAAGCTTTCAGGCTTATCCCTAACATTTCCCTTCTCCCACCCTTGCCATCACAAGGCATCTGGAAGGGTGAATGTGGGTTCATTGCTTAGGTGCCAGAAAGTGGTGACATCTGTGGTGGGTGTACGTCCATGGGGCTGTCACTACAAAGAACCACCACAGCTGGTTCCCGGGCATAACCTTTAATCAGGGTGCAGCTGCCCCCCAGACCATCCTTCAGAGCTCTGAACCCTTGGCCAGCAAAGAGCAGATGGTTGTGTCCCTCCCAGGTCACAGCATGACCCTGGCAGAAAGCAATGATGTTCTGCAGCTCTCTGGGGCTTATATTTGCTGTCAGCCTCCATCCTAGGGGCGATTTCTCCAAAAATGTTATTTTTGGTGCCCTGGAAAATTACCAAGTTTGATTAGTGTTGTGGCTTGTGTCTGAGAGAATCCAGGATCTGTCTTCACATCTTGTTGTCAAAGACCCAGCCTGGTGCTTTAGAAGAGATCTTCTGTGGAGTCCACCATTCTTTGACCTGATGGCCTCAGTTCCCCACCGTGACCTTGTCAGGCCATGCCTGGAAACACAAAGGTGTACAGCAAAGGCCTCCCTGATCCCAGGCACGTGGTCTGCTGGTCACTGTTCTTGGAATCGGAAAATGCTTCTGTAGCTAATTATGTCTATCCATCTGGAAGGCATTGTCTAGAACTGTGTGCCCAATATAGTAGCCACTAGCCACATGAGGCTATTTAAACTTAAGCTTTAATTATTTAAAATTAAACAAATTTTAAAAGTCAGTTTCTCAGTCCCTCTAGCCATGTTTTAAGGGCTCAATAGCTACATAGGACTAGTGGGTACCACATTGGAGAGCACAATAGAACCTCCATAGTTGACCACCTCCTTAAGTTGACCTAATTTTCATAGACAAGACACGTACCATAATGACTCAATGGAAGTTCCTTCTGTTGACCCCTTCATATGTTGACCAGTTTGTTATAGTCCCTTGAGTGGTCAATTTACAGAGGTTCTACTGTATTTCCATCATCGTAGGAAGTTACATTAGACAGTGACAATCTAGAGTTATTTGCTTCTCCAAGCTTCCAACACACAAGCTCTCTTTCCCTTTTTTACAAGGTATAATTTTCTAAGATAAATATTGCAAATATGTCAATTCCATAATTTAATTCACTTACAGTCTATTAGAAAGAATAAAAAGTATGTTTTAAATAAAAAGTATAATTTAAAATATTGCTTGACCAGTGTTTCCCAAATTTTAATGTAGCTATAAATCACTTAGGGATCTCATTAAACTATTGATCAGTGATTTTCAACCAGTGTGCCATGAGGGGACCTTAGTTGTGCCACAAAAAATTTTAAAGATCATTAATAAATTATTTTTGAAAGAAATTCAAAGAACTATATTCTTTTTTTTTTAACCTTTTTTCAGTCAACATAAGTGTGCAGTGGAAGTTTAACTATAAGTTCAAATGTGCTGTGAGATAAGAAAAGTTGAAAAACATTAGTCTAGATTCTGATTCTGTAGGTGGGGACTATGATTCCGCTTCTGGCCCACAGACCACCTCTTGAGTAGGGAGTGACTTGTGAATTAAGATCCTATTACTACTTGAAGGTCAAAGGAATAAATACAGCAAGTGAACTTCAATGGAAAGACAGAAGGGGAAGGACCCATGACCACAGTCCAATACCAGAAGAATAAGACCAGCTCCCCTTCTTTAGTCTGAACATGAGATAGCAGAGCCCAGGGGACCCCACAGCACAGCAGCGTTAAGAGCGCCACTCTGGAACACACAGCCTAGGTTTGATTCTTGACTCACTTTCTAGCTATGTGTCTGTAAGCAAAGTATCAGAAGGCCTCAGTTTCCCCATCTGGAACATGGGAATAGTATTCATACATTTCTCCTAGAGTGGTTGTGAGGACTCAGTGAACTGGCGGGTGTGAAACGCTTAGAACGATGTTTAGCACGTTGTTCGCTCTGTGCGTGGTTGTTAAATCAATAAGCAAATGCAACATTGCGTCTCTAAATAAGTGAGTATGATTATGCTGGGTGAGCTGATGCATTTCTGACCAGTTGTGCTTCTCTCGGCTCTGAACAAGACCCTTGTTTCTTCCCCTGTGGATGGAGGAAGGGGTGGGCGGTGGACAATATCTCTGATGAAAGGCTGAGTTCCTGAGGCATCCTGCGTTAGAGAAAAAGTGGAAAATGAGGGTTTCGACAGTTGGGCCTGTCACCGGCAGGAATGGTCCAGAGAAGCCTGATCAGTGGTGGTGTTGCTCCCCAGAGACAGCACCCACCGGGCACCCTGGCCACCCTCCCTCAACACGGCCCCTTTCACATGCCTCTCTTTTTACCATTTGATACTGTTGGCGTACAAAATCTCCATTTTGACTTTGCCCAGGTTTTGTAGAATCCGTCCCTTAACTATAAGACCTTTTTCTTCAGTGTGTGGCAGAAAATTGGTCTGCGTCACACGATAAACGATGACACTGGCTTTTCCCTGGTACTGATCATGTTTTAAACCTTCTTCCCCTACCCCAAAGCAAAGAGCCCAGCCAGCAGCGAGTGAAAAGATGGGGCTTCTCTTTCGACGAGATACTGCAGGACCAGGTGGGGCGGGACCAGTTCCTACGGTTCCTGGAATCCGAGTTCAGTTCAGAAAACCTCAGGTAAATCTCTCGGAGCTTTGAGCTGTGTGCTGACCGTGTGTGAGGAGCTTTGCCTTGTCTGTCTCTCCCCTGGCTTTCTCAATAAAGACATTCTCAGGGTTCAAATTCAAATGCCAGCTAATCTAAGGTGGAAACGGAGAAGCACAAATTAAAACATGCAACTTTCTTACCACCTAATAGCACCGACCAACACTAGCATTTTTTTAGTTCAAGTCCGGATGGCATTTGTTCAACTGATTGGGAGCAAGTATTCAATAATAGTTAAATAGTCAGATGGATTCAACCCTGCCATCCATTAGGAATAACCACAGAACTTCAGAATCGGGGGAGGAAGCCCAAAGGCTCTCTCCTTCAGAACTTCCCGGCCTGGGGTCCTACACAGAAGAGACAGGAGCTAAGGAGCACTTTTCCAAATTTCAAAGAGCCAACGTAAGCATCACTCAATACCTGGAGATTAATTGTACAAGCTAATTCGAATATGCCTCTTCCTTTTTGAGGGACTCCTGTCAGTTCCATGTGGTGGTTGATGTGATCATCTGATGCCGGTGAGGACATCTGCTTGTTTCTATTGGTCTATACCTAATACGTTGTAAGGGGAATGTGTTAGTGATTACCATTTAATAGGAGAAAAAAGAAAACATTCAAAACATAGTGTGCTGTGTGAGAAGAAAAAAAGGGGGTGCATTAAAAGGGCTGAATAAGCAAGCCCCCAAATCTTTCATGTATTGATGAAGAATCAGATACCCATGGAAACCTTACCTAAGCCTTCAGGGATCGTAGCAAACTGGTGACTTCGTAATGGGTAAGATAGATCTCTCGCTCGCTCTCTCTCTCTTACTCTTTCTATATTTTTCTTTATACAAGGTTCTCTTTTTTATACCGTGTTAATTCCCATTTTCCAGTGCTCTTTTCTTTAAAAGGGTTTTATTAATTTTTAAATGTTTTTCAACTTTAAAAAGTCAGAGCATACACTTTGGGCAGAGAATTGTCCCCTCTAATGTTCAAAATCCATGTTACCAGTTTGAAATTAGAGATGGTTTTGAACCTGTGCATCAGTCAAGTGATATCAGGACCCACCCATGCTGGTCACGCTCCAAGAGAGTCTGCTGAGGGATGCCAGCCAGGATGCGTGATCTTTGCTCGCAACAACCTTATAGGTTCTTGTTAAAAAACATACACATACAGGCACATGCACAGAAAACAATTAAATCATTCAATGTACATAAATGAGTGTAAGCTCTAAAAACTATTCGGAAGTATTTAAGGGAGAAAGGAATCAGTGTCAGCCAGTAAACAAATTATAAGCCGGACTTTGAAGAATACACAGGATAGTAACAACAAAGTGGGGGAAGAGGAGTCCAAGCTGGAAGCTGTGTGAGCAGAAGGGTGGCAGCAGGACTCTCTCACACACAAAGTCCAGGTAGAAGTGGAGATGCCAACTAGCTGTGCTCCCTGTGCCTTTCTAGGCACCCACGTGTCTATTATAAACCGGATAAGGTTGAGCATCTTACTCGTGGTTATGACACAGCTATTCTTTCCTTATGTTGAAACACATTCAAACACATCTCAGAGCTTCGCTTCAAAGCCTAACACAGTACAGCAGAATATGTGTAAGGTGACCATTCAAGGGTCTGTAACAAACTGGTCATCATAAGAACTAGGCCTACAGTACTGATACATGCAAGTGGCACATGTCCGATCTGTGAAAATTAGGTCAACTTAAGGAGGTGGTCCATGTGGGGAGGTGGTTGACTATGGAGATTCTACCATATTTGTAAGAAGGTTGGACTTCTAATACTCTTCACGGGAGTGGTGCTCAGACCAGCCTCCCAGGCTATGCCTCTCCGTGGCCAGCTCCATGTATACTTGTGGCCTCTCAGTGTGGCTGACTCAGTCCCAGGTTCCACCCAGGCATGGGTCCTATAAGCCACACATCTTTCTCATATCCCCTTTTCATCCCTGTCCTCCTAGATCCCCAAAATGGGGTGGTATCAAGGCCCCTTTTACTTAATTCTATCTCAGCCCACAAGTAGTCTATGACCCTGTGCTGCCTGCATGATTACAGGGAGTTTGAAGAATGACCACAGGGTCCTAGTCATTGTGAGGGTCCCAGCAGCACCCACTGGCTCAACTTCTGCCATGGCCTGTCTGGGCATCCATTCTGGAAAGCCCTTGATAGCCAGAGCCACACATCAGTTCAGACCAGTTTCACAAAACATGCATTAGGCTCGGGGCCCAGAGTGCACCGAGGAGTGTGTCCCTGGCAGGTGTTCAGTGCTTCCCGAGCTGCCGTCACCTCTTGCATCTCTGCCAGCCCCTTCCCCCTGCCAGGAGGGCTGCCTTTCACCCTGGGTGAAAGCGTGTGTGTGAGCACGCGTCAGTGTGCCAGGGACGAATCCACAGCTCAGCGTGCAGACATAAATCCAGACTTAAGAGGATCACCTCTCTGATCCGTAATGAGAAAGGGAGTAAAGAAAATAGAACAGTGGGGAGGAGAAGGATAGCCCAGGAGACCCTAAAATCCTCTCCGGAGGCCCAAGTGCCATCTTTATGATGTTCAGCCTAATTGGTCACATTGGAGAAAGCTCAGTTTTAAACGCACCACTTCCAGACTCTGGTTACCTGACACCAGGCGGTTTCTTCTCCTTCCCTTCGTTTCCATTCCTTCCACCACTGGTATTGGCTTAGCAACTACCAGGAACCAGATCCCAAGGATTCAGAGCTAACCCCATTTTCTGCTTTGCCCAGGGTGGGGAGATACAACTCCACCTTGGTCCCTGGTAGTAGTGCCCTGTGAGAACTGTGCAATTAGGCAGGACCAGAGGATCCTGCCCATCTGTTGTGTCGGCCGTGTGGGGTTGTCCCTTCTCCCAGGATTGGTCAGGGGCCCAGGCTAGTGGCATTGGAGCATGACAGGAAAGGAGACTGACCAGAACCCACCTGGATAAACTGCAAGGTGCCTCTCCACTAATGTCCCCCCACGCTCCCTCGCTTCTCCGTAGTAAAATAGGTACTTAGATCCTAACGTTTTCACACAGCACACAAAGGCTGGTCAAGTAGCCAAGTGGTCAAATTTACGTCAGAGCTTCAGAATGAGGAACAGAGGAGCCTCAAAGCGTCACCTGGATCCTTGAGGAATGATTTCTATGATGCTATAATAGAGTGTGTGAAGTCCCTTTTGATCATTTTCTCCCGGGTGAGCCTGTGAGATGAGCTGGGAGCATCGTCTCCGGGGACTGCAGAGCTGCGCAGCTGTGAGCTCTCCGTGGCAGGGCTGCCTTTCTCTCTCATCTTCCAACCCAGCCGGAGCTGAGCCCAGGGCTCCTTCCCACTGGCAGGGCCCATGGAGTCAGCTGTTTGCTGAGAGCCTCTGGAACATGCAGCTCTCCATTCCCAAGGCAGGAGCCTCACAGCTCTCCAGTGGGGCGTTCTGCTGAGTTACGGGCCACACTGTCCCCCTTCTCTGTGCATTTTCCCTGCATGGCGACAGTCACTTCTCGCCACCTTTGCCCCTCTCCCACATCCCTGGCTTGACACCCTCTGCCACATGGCAGAACACGAGTTAAAAATCAAAACCCACAGCAAAGAGCATCCCTGGTACATTTTTTATGAGCTGTAACATCTCCTGAGAGAATGTAGTTGTTCTTCTAACCTGCAGATTGATGATCCGAGTTCCACACGGTGTCAGCTGGAGGGAGAAGCAATTAAAAGAGAACACGGTGCGGGAAGAGGATGCCAGGTTCGCCCGCAGAGCTCCCATCTCCAGCATTTGTCCTCCAGTCCCAGGAAGACCTCAGAAAACTTAGTAGGCCCAGTAGGACCCACCACAACCAGACATGGGATGAATCAGATCAGAGGTGATGTGACTCCCGTGACACCACAGCCATCAGCAGCATTCCAGGCGCTGCCCACTGAACACCATCCAGCTTTGGTGGTGCTGCATTTGGCTCCTAAAGCTGGGCACCCCAAAATTCCAGCCCAGCCAGGTGCAAGTCAAGTTTAAGCCATTGTTCCCAAGTCTCTGGTTGACCAGCAGAGGGCACAGAAACGCTTTCTTCTGCCGTGGAGTTTGGTTTTCTCGGGGAACGAACCCAAAACTGTATTTTCTAACCCATGAAAAAAATCTAGTTCGTGAAAAGATGTAGAAACTGCTCACTGGGGGGCCACCCAGACCTCCTGGCGGGATGGAGATGTTCAATGGTTACGTGGTTGCTCTCACTCCAGCCTAGCAGCCTCAGGATTGGAGAGAACCCCACTCCTGGTGGGCACTGGGGAAGAAAGGAGCCTCCCCCAACTGCCGAGCAGCAGCCGTGGACTGCCTCGAGTCCCCTCCCCACTGCTTTGTCCCAGTGGCTTCTGAGCCCAGGCTGGCTCTTCCCAAAGGCCAGTTTCCCCGCCAGCATTTCTGAGCCATTAACACAGATCAAATGCCAGCACAGGGGCTGCCTCCTGCTGCTCTGACGATTGGCAGGGACCAGAGGAAAGACAGGTGGTCTCCCAGATACCAGCCTTTGCGGCCTGCCCATCACCACGGCCCTTCTGCTGCAAGCCACGGAGGCTTAGTGCAGGGTGGGTGGATTTGACGCGCTGTGGCTGCATTTCCTCCCTGCCTGCACCACTGGGGAGGAGCAGTACCTGCAAGCTTTCGATAAGAGCAGGAGCTTCCAAACCTCAGTGGGCCTCCCGTGGGCAGTTGATGTGTAGAGCAGAGCTTTGGTGGCTCTTTGTGGGGAAAGTGTGACCACACAGCCAGGGCTTGGCGCTCCCAGCTCAGACCTGTGGGGGCTGGAAATGGCAAATACAAACCAGAGCCTGTTCTGAATTTCAAATTGACACAAAGGTTCTCTGAAGCCAGTGATGGTAAACACGTATGCGATGTCAGAATGCTGTTGTGACAGCATTTCTGCTGTCACCTGAGAGGGATGAGGCAGGTCATCTCCAATGCAGACGGAAGACTGGGAAGTGTCCCCACATGTGCAAGAAGAGAGAACTGCTGTCTGGGGAATGTCACCCCGACACCCTCCCCTAGCACACCTGTTGTTTTTCCTCTGCTTTTATTATTATTATTGATTCTTGGTTTTATTTGACAAAGAGAACCTTTTTAATTTTTCATGTGAAAATTTATTAAACTTGATTCTGACGTTTGCATCTACATCAGCTCCAGATCATCTCTGTAGACCCATCTGAGTGAAGCACATTCGTGTGGCTCCCAAATCACCCTCTGACGAGGACCCTGAGGCCTCTGGGTCCACAGGGAGCCTGCAGAGCTTGGGAGCAGCTGGGGTCCTCAGGGCCTTCCCAGAGGGACCCACAGCTCCTCCTCAGAGCAGACTGGAGGAAGGGGTTCAGACGACAGAAGGTGACTGAGGGGGCAGGAGATCACAGGCTTCATCCATGTGTGTGAGAAGTTGCAGGACCCCAGCAGGCACGGGATGGATGTTGACTGGAAGGTTGCTTCTAGCCGGGGACTCAGCCCCGAGAAGCCTCCCCGAGTGAGCCATTTCTCCTGTCTGCCTGGCATGTGGTCAAGGAGATCTCACAGACCTCAGCCCATCTTGCGGTCTTTGGAAAAATCAACATCGGCTTCTTTCTTTAGAGCCAGGTTTCCTAAATTTTTCACTCTCCCATCAAATCCCACATGCTAGGCAGAGAAAGGCTTGTAGGTGCTGTCCTCAGCAGATGGCCGTTTTCACCTTTAAGTCTTCTGTCCCCCCCCCCCATTTCACGGCCGACCTTAGGGGTGGACAGAGAGCCCCAGGGAACCTAGGGACAGGGCCCAGGACATGGTGGAGACCCACTCCCCAGCCCGAGTTTCAAGGACCACCCGCACAATCCCACAGGTTAACAGCTCCTCTCAAACTCTCCCAGGCCCCTGCTCTGGACTCTGGTTAAAGAAACACTGCCACTGTCCTCGCCTCGGTAGCCGGAAGGAACGGGATCCAGGGACTCGGCAGCAGAAGGAAAGAGGGCTGGCGCTGAAGGGAAGGGGGTGCCAGAGGGCAGCAGCAAGGGCTCAGCACCTTCTACTAGGCCGCCTGAAGGGAGAGGGGCAAAATCTGAGGGGTCACACCGGGGGCCACCACACCAACCTCCTTCTCCACTCCCACCCTGGGGACCAGAAAGCATTTCAGAATTAAGACTGGACGGGAAGTTTCCCAGACCTGTGCCACATACCCCCCACCCACTGTGGCCTCACTTTACAGACGCAGAAAGATACAATTCAAGATGCTGCTGTGGAGGATGTGAGGGCAGAACTGGGCGCGGCCGTCTTCAGAGCGAGGTCCTGCTCCCTGCCTGTCCCCTGGTTCTGCAGGATCAGCGACCGGGCCTTAAGGGTTCTCTGGGAGGAGGTCTTCAGAACCCAGCCCTGTGGGAAACATGTATGCACACCACACACATCCACTACACACACACACCACATACACATACCACACATCCACACACATACCACACACACACCACGCATACACACCACGCACACCACACATACACACCACGCACACCACACATACACACCACACACACCACGCATACACACCATACACACCACGCATACACACCACACACACCACACATACACACCACACACACCACACATACACACCA